CAAAAAGAAATTCTAGGATTTAATTATATTATATACCACGCACTGAAATCAATCACTTTTCTCTCTATCTGCTTGCAAGAATCAATAATAATTTATATTCGTTGACTCTCTTATTAATTTTACTATTATACAACCACTTGATCGAACTTACTGTTGATACGTGACAGATGAGAATCCAGGCTGCTTAAAGCGATTAGTCGTAGATACAAAATTTTAAAACAGAATGATATATCTGTATCATATCTTCATATTTCATAGAGTCATATAGCATAAGTAATGACATTGTTATAGTTGCCGTAGGCATTATGCCAACAATCTCAGAGAATACCAGTTTTCGTTGGTTTTTGTATAAGGGATAATGGAGGAAAAAGTGTTCAAGTGTCTCATTTGCGCCACATACACAGTACGGGTCAGCGGTGAGATTATTAATGTACAGATCATGTCTTAGCTGAATTCGATCAACTCGACATCGACAAAAATGAATTTCATCTAAGCGATTATTTGCAATGGGAAGCCTTTTCTTGACCGTTGTTTGAAGAAAAATTTGAGAAAAACTTGAAAGCAGAAGTTTATTCAACGACAGTGGAATAAGTTTGAATTTATAATTGAACACGTTAGGTAGAATATATATTGGTGTCTCAATCACATCTGCGCCATCGTACCGGTGTATTCCTGACGGATTCATATCATTAAACTTAAAATATTCATTACCTGTCCGCATAGTAACGGTAGAATGTTGAGTCTGATGACACACTGTACCGACAAGCTGATAATTAAAATGTAATAAGATGGTATAAGTCACATAGTTCATACGCATGTCTACCAGTTTTGATCATGAAGTACGCATTTTTCCCTGATGAATCTGCATGTGCACTTTTTAGTTCCACGCAATGCTTGAGGTAAGAAATAAGTGAACATTTAACGCTGCTCTGATGTATTATAATTAGTAACCTGTTATGTCTTTTCTCATAAAAGACATGCATCTACGTACATGCTATCAGCAATTTTCTATGATTTTGGTAAATCGCTTGTTCGAGTTCGAGTTTCTGAAGGCACATCAATAATGCAAAAGAGTGGTTTAGTGAGAAATTTTTTTGGCGAATAAATACGCTCTGCAGCACAACAGCATAATGGTCTAAAAGGTAATAAATCTATTATATACATAAATAAAACAGAAAATTGACCGTAGATACATATCGTCTAATGTTATCTTCCATGAGTATATTACTCTCAAATGTATCACCCAAATAATTTACATGAACATGTACAAAATCCCCAAGAGTTTTTCTAAATAGATCACAACTGTAGCCCGCTGAAGTTGGTTTTTCGATATATATTTTGGTTACTAAGTACTAAGTCTCAAAAGTTCATCTACCTCTCTTGCACTCTCGAATGATCTTTTTCCCAAATCTGTACGATTAGTGGTAGCTGAGAACGATTGGCTGACTCGAAGTAGAAAGTAGGGTCTAGAAGAAAGAAGAATTAGAGACCAACTATGCTGCGCATAGATTGGTAAGTCGACTAACGAGCGAACCTTTCCAGGTGTCCGACCGCTTTTCTAACGAAATGCGGTAGTTTATAGGTAATCGACCATGCTGATTCCGAATATGATAGCTGTTTTTGCCTCTAGGCCTATGCTAACCGATTTCTGGAAAACTGGTTTTCCAGTAACCTCGAAAAATTCCCAAGAATTTTTCTAAATACGTCACGATCGTAGCCCGCGAAATTCTGATTAAAATGAGACATCTTCCAGCTCTACACGACCTTGAAAACCTTGGGGATTACCTGAAAAGCTCTTGGGGATTTTGTACATGTTCATGTGAATTATTTGGGTGATACATTTGAGAGTAATATACTCATGGAAGATAACATTAGACGGTATGTATCTACGGTCAATTTTCTGTTTTATTTATGTATATAATAGATTTATTACCTTTTAGACCATTATACTGTTGTCTGACGTAGATGCATGTCTTTTATGAGAAAAGACATAACAGGTTACTAATTATAATACATCAGAGCAGCGTTAAATGTTCACTTATTTCTTACCTCAAGCATTGCGTGGAACTAAAAAGTGCACATGCAGATTCATCAGGGAAAAATGCGTACTTTAATATGTACAAGTGGTGATTGGATAACGGTAAACCAGCGAAGGTAGGAGGTCCAGATGCCGGAGTTCATATTGGTAACAAAGAAAATGGTGATCGAATAATCTGTTCACCTGATTCTTTCGGGGTTCCTCCATCACAGATGGAAAATTATGTTCCTAGCGTTGCGTATCCACAATGGTTTTCTGCGTTTGTTGCTGAAGTTAGGTCTCCCCGTCAGACCTTATGACAACAGTGTGAGAAAATGGAGTTTTATCGCTCAAAAGGGGTTTTCCTTGGGTGGCTTGTTATCCCCGCAACAGCCAGGGGTGATACCACTTTAGAAATCTGTGAACCAGTCCAGCCCGTTCAAATCATCAAATCGCCTGGAACTGTCCATGCAAATTTGCCTCCATCCGCATCCCATTCACAATAGACTTCCAACAAAGTTGCAGAAGACGTAACACGCAAAATTATCAATACTGTACAATATTTGTATATTCTTATGTACAATAAAGCATCGACTCCATCAGGAGAGCGACAATGTTCGATATATTGCGACACTACGGCGTACCCAGTAAAATGGTCCGAGCTATTCAAACCATCTACAAGAACTCGAGAAGCCGAGTACTGGTTGAAGAGAAGTTGTCAGAAGAATTCGACGTCACAACTGGTGTCCTACAAGGCGACACACTAGCCCCCTATCTATTCATCGTCGTCATCGATCATGTACTTAAAAATGCCGAGCTAAAACACTCTGCGAACGACTCCAACGGATTTGTGACCAACCCGAGAAGATCGTCGAGAAAACCAGCAACATCAATATTATTCGACCTAGACTTTGCCGACGACATTGCGCTGCTAGAAGGTACTTTGGAAGCAGCTCAATCACAAATGTCTCTCAGAGAAGCCAGAAAGGCTGGTTTAGAGATAGACGTCAAGAAAACCGAAGTTTTTACCAACCAAGACCACAAGGGCGTCAACATCACACTCGAGGGTCAGAATATTGAGTGAGCCAACAATTCCAAGTACCTAGGATCAATGGTTGTTTCAAGCGAATCGGATATCAAAGTGCTTAAGGGTCAAGCGTGGAGTGCTTTCTGGAAAATGAAAGATATATTTCGATGAAAAAGCCTGCCGATCAAGCTCAAAACCAACATCTCCCAAGCAGCATGTTTCTCAGTACTTTTGTACGGCTGTGAGAGCGGGGTCATTACAGATAAGCTCGAGAGAAGTCTAAAAAGTTACGCGACCAACTGCTACAGAATCATGCTTAGCATCAAACGCTTGGACAAGAAACGGAACGAAGAGATATACAAGATAGTCGGCCTTGACCCCCTTGCTCTACAAATTCAGCGCAGACAATTGAGATTCGTCGGGCATTGTCTTAGAAAAAATGAGAACGACTTAATCAACAAGTACGTTCTCTAAACGGGAAAAGTATTTCGTTTGTAGAATTCCGTTGTTAGACATCGTTTAATAATCTTTTCAAGGAGTTTTCCTATACAACTCAGGAGACTAATGGGACGATAACTTGACGGTAGTTGTTTGTCTTCTTTCGGCTTGAGAAGCAAAATTATGTTTGCTTTCTTCCAAATCGCCGGAATACGGCCGACTGGTATCACAGTATTGAAGAGCCGAACAAGATGTTGAATGAGCGATTTAGTGTGATTCTTCAGACAACGATTGTGAACAGAGTCGGGACCCGGTGAACTGTTCTGGAGTTGTTTCTATATTGTCATGATTTCTCGTTCTGTGATCGGTGGTGCCTGTTTGTTTGGTGTTTTCATTTTTATTTTTATTTGTTCAGCTTGCTCTGTGACTTGACGATGGAATGGAAGTCGATCTGACATTGCAACGAACACTTCGCTCTCGAAATACGTCGCGAATAGGTCGGCATTTTCACGGTCGGACGAAGCCGTTTGAGTCTGATAGTTGATTTTACTCGCGTACAATTGCTTTGTCCTTTTGTTGTGATATCTTCGAACGGTTGCTCACACTTGAGCTGAATGCATTTTTCTTCTGCTTAGAGTCGACATCAATTTCTTGAGTCGAGCGATTCTTTCATTTCGGAGAGCATTTGTCACGAGTACTTTTAGATTGTAATAGTGTTTCTTGTTTCATTCTCGGCGCTTTCGTATTCGTTGATCTTGGGGACGATGTTGAATATTGGTCGATCGTCGCTTTGATTTTTTGTTGTTGTTCTTTGAGTTTTGGACAATCCGTTGATGTGGCTAAATGCTCGCCTTTGCAGTTGCAGCAAACTGGTGGTAAGTTTCCTTTGTCATAGTTCTCTTGTAGATGGTTGTTTCCACATTTGGCGCAGACTTGATTTTGAGCTCGCTTGCAATACTTCGAGACATGTTCAAATTGTAGACCGATGAAGCATTGTGCTGGCTTCGTGTTTTGATTTGCTCGTTCGGCAAGTGCATATGTTGAATTTGAAGACCAACTTGGACAAACGAGTTTCTATTCTGGACATCAACGAAGGTAATCTTCACTGTTCGAGTCGGACCCAAATTGTCTCTGTTTTGGAGTCTACATATTTTTTCAACATTAAAGCCATTTTTTGTTAGCACCGTTCGAATTTCGTCGTCATCGATGTCGAGATCGACGTTTTTCACAAAAGTGTCTTTGTCCGTATCAGGAATGCGTTGAATGAATCGAGGAATACGTATTGTTGCTTGTCCATTTCCGATCGATAAATTTGTGGCGCCATTCAGTAAGGTGTTGAACGATTTGACATCAGAAGCGTACAGCGTGAACGTACCGGTGTTTCGATTGAGTTGGATATCTGCAAGCTTTGCATCTGGTAATTGGGTTAGGATGAGTTTATTCAGCTGGACCTTTGTCGCTGTTATCCCTTCGAGAACGAGAGGAGCGATCGAGAAGTCAGGTTTCGAATTTGTTGCTGGCTGTTTCAAGATCGATTCACGAGGAGCTTCGATCACTGTATTGCCGCGGTTTCTTCGTCCACCTTTTCTTGGACCTCGAGGCACTCCTCCCCGATTCATTGATCTTACCGTTAGAGAATTCAAAACTTGTTCTTCAGCAATCCTGTTTTATTTTTGGTTTTGTTTGTTTTTGAACGATGAGTCTCCACCAATTTTGATAGTAATATAGATCTAGAAGTAGGAGGCGTCGCAATTGCTCGACCTCCCTCTTTATAATGTGTTTAATATAAGCGAAACTGCAAATCGTCCATTGATAAATAAAGAGTGATGAAAAAACAAAAAAATCAGAGTGAACAGAAAAATACCCTTTCCCCCCTCCGCCGTAATAGAAGCCCCGGGAACCTCTAAACTACCCAAGCGTTCAAAATTTTTAGGAGGGCTTCTAATAGGTCCCACTATTTTTCAAGGGTTTCACATGCAAACATTTTGTAACAACTTTTAGGATTTTTCAGAGCTTTTCGAAGGGATTTCGAGATTCTCATGCTGGTATGTAAAATTTAAACGAGTTTTTACCTTAAAATTTGACAATTTTTACTTTAGAAATACTAATAAAACTTTCCGAAAGTTTTCCCTATTAGAAGGGGTCTTCTAACGGGGGGGGGGGGGGTTTTATGCGAAAACGTTTAAGGGAAAAACAATTAGTTTTTTGGGTTTTTTT